GAAACTCTCAAGAAAACATCTTTCTAAGAGAAATCGCATGCTGGAATAATTCTTAACTTCCAGTCGAACCATACATATGGGGTGAAGATTAAAATACTCCTGAGTATGAGCATAAGAAGCTTGCGACTGACTGATTCTGATTTCTGGGAAGAGGAACTGGGAAAGCTAACTCTGATGTTTGTTAGAAACGGTTATCCAGAAGAAGCAATACAACATAACATAGTGATGGTGACGAACAGATGGAAAGACGGAGGTTATGAAAGGAACGCAAGAGGAGCAGAGGAAAAACGGTGGATATGCCTACCCTCCTGTGAAATGGCTCGGAAGCTACGGCCAATACTAAGCAGATAGAACATTCGTACAATCCTGAAAGACAGGATAGCCCTCTTCACCAATTTGCCCACACAACGTGAAGAAGTCAACAAAACGGACTGCTCCGGAGTTTACAGCATAAATTGCAAGGACCGTAAACAAAAATGTATCGTAGAGACGGGAAGGAGAATCAGCACAAGGATCAAAGATCAGCAGCGACTATACAGAAAAATGGACGCAGAAAGATCGGAGATAGCTGAACACTTTGCCCATACTGGCCGCACAATTGACTGGAATGCAACGGAAAGACTGGCCCCAAATGGGGAAAACACCAGGAAAAGGAAGATCAAGGAGCCTGTGGACATCCTCTTTCAAAGAAACCTGATGAACAGGAGATTGGAAGAAGGAAGAGTAAGCGATCATTTCGCGTAAGGATTAAGCAGACTTGTAGATTCAACAAAGTCATCATAAAGAAGGCGCTTGGAGCCAGGACAACTGTTCAACAACAGGAGGAGGCATCAACAAGGATTGGCTCATGAGGAAGAAAGGGAAGTCAAGAAAAAGCGACTGCCGTGAGTGGAGTTGGACATGGAATTGGCCAAAAAAAATTACCCAAGGGTCCACCTGCGAGATGTGGGGTATGAAATGAAAGGCTAAAAGTATAGGTGGACTAGATATAGGTCACCAGTGTGTGTGCGTGTCGTGTGTAATTTTCGTATCTGCGTCGGAAGGGGAGGTAACTGATGACAGTTTTGACCAACACACACACAGGGACATCATCCCAGTATCCTAGGATTAGATGGGAATGTTGACTTGAGAGACGAGCGGAGTGTGTCTTTCGCGATTTAAGGGAACAAAAGGAAGCAATGCATTTTCACACCAGCGCGTACGACGTAAGCCAGACACAGGGCCCCAAAGAATGAAGCACAATGTGGGTGAGGATGAGAGAGAGTATAATTGAGTCACGGGTTTGAAGCCCAGGGAGAGTAAAATTCCCAAGCACTAAAATGTGCATCATCTGCTCTAACTCCTCGAAGATGACGTAATCGAGGACGAGTATGGAAGGTTCTTAGACAGCCACATTTCATTTCGAGTGAAAGTGTTTGGTGAAGAGATACAAAGGTCGATTCCACCGGAAGACAATGGTGGATTCCTCTTGGCTCAACAATTATGAAACAATAGACTCTTGAAACCCAATTTTTCTTCGCATAGTCAAGGGGATTGCCTTCCCTTGTCACTTTTCTAAGTTGTAACTCTGTGCTTACGATGGCGCATCTCACTGGCGATGCCGACTACGATGCGAATGTACCCAGCCAATGGTCAAATGATGGAAATCACGAATACTGTAGCAGAGGACACGCAACTAGATACGTTCCACAATGTCTCCCTGACGCTCCGACCAAGTTGCGAAAACAAGGTCGAACCAGCAACGTTATCTTTTGTGTTCGGCTATAATCGGTGCATTGCTTGGCAATTTTATTTCCATAGTTTAAACGCAGGCATTAGGGCCAAGGTGATGTGGCCTTTAGTATTGTCACAGTCTCCCTTAGTTGCATAGAAGATGTTTGGCCTTGTTTTTGCAGCTTGGTCGTGTTGCCAGGACGACCTAGAGGGGCGCACCTTGTCCAAATTCCATAATATCCATAATTATTCTCAATGTCTGAACATTCCCCGATTTCTGGGATTATGCAAAGTCCATGTTCCGACACTAGAAATTATCATGGACTCTGGACAAGGTGAGTTCTTTTAGGTCTTCCTGACAATACACCAAGATGTGGAAACAAGGTCAGACAACTTCGATACAACGAAAGGAGGAAGCAACCGTACAAAAGTTTACACCATCTTGGTCTTTATACCTTCGAATAAAAGCATGTAGTTATGCCTCTGATCTACTCGAAGAACCAGAGGAATTCCCTTTTAAATATCCATATGGGAAATACGAGATGTGGAAAAGAATGTGCACAGCAGATTACTGCAATTCAAAATCAAACTTAAGAAACTTTCGGCTCACTGCTAAATGGCATGGAAACAATTCCATTTTATGGATGGAAAAACGAACAAATTAAATTATCCTAGGATAGGCCATGACGCAAAGTGAAATCGTTTTTAGATATCCTTAACGCCGGACAGAAACAATGCCTTGAAAAATTAGAACAGAATTGGCAAATAAAATCTAATCGTTTGATTGTCTTTACTTAAAGTATCATAATTATTCCTGAATATTCAGACACCAGGTTCTGCGAGAATAAGGCTAAAAAATAAAATTGATAAACCAAGCATTTCTGGTAAATGATTGTATCGGTAACATTAAAAAAACCTCTGTAAAAAGAAGACCTTTTAATTTATTTATTCATGCATGCGATTGGCTCTAAGCGGGGCTGAGCAAAGCTATCAGCATGGTTACTGATGTTTCTAATCTTAACTCACTAAATATAAGTAGTTGGTTAACTTATAAACTAGGCTATAAAACAACCAGGTCGTCGTGACTACTAAAGCTGAGCGTTTTCCGTATATTATCATAAATCCTATTATATATCCGATAATAATCTGTTGATGGTCATTTAAACGAAGCAACATCGTATAATCTGCGGAAGTCAGGCGGAAATTTCGATGCCTAATATTGAAATTTATACTTATTTTGAAGATTTCCACTTGGATTTAGTATATGCTTATTTGTAAGTTCACTCGTATTGATGCCCAACACATATTTGCGCTACATTTAGGATACCATCAATAGTTAACTATGTACGATTGTTATTTTACTGAGTTTTATAACATATCCATTTATGCAGCCTATTAAACATATTATTATTTAGTGGTGGTAGTATTACTATTAGTCTTACATAAGGTCGTTAAGAGAATGTATCTCTTAATCATAAAAAAGATTAATTCATTTTCAAATCCATCCATATTAAGTGTACATTTAGCATTACCTATAGTGTGTATAAACTTGAAGTGACTAAATTCGCTTTTCATGTTAATTGTTAAATAAAATCACACTGTGCTTATTTAGATGCGCTTATCTGATATAATAGTTTCTATAACTGAACTTTGGAGGCTATCTTGGCAATTTTAAAAAGTGGTTTTAGTCCAAACGGAGCCTTCGTTAGGACACTTGGCATTATTTTTTCGAAGACTAAGAGATGATGTTATCTCACAGAGACAGGGATGATGTCCAATTCGACAGATGTATCGATTTAATTAAAACTACATTGATAAGTTAAACTACTTATTCGGCTTTACATCATATCATATCATATCATAACCGCGCAATAGGAGATATAATTGTATATATTTTTTTCACTTATGTATTAGTTGAGTATATAATGCATGTAAAGCAAGATAAATTTCTTGGCTTAGTGATATAATAAATTATTTGTAAAAAAAGAGATTTAGTATTGACGATTTTAGTCAAACGAAAGCATAACCCGTTTTTACCTCAATCGAAGGAGGATGTCTCGTTGATTGCGTCAACTTGAACGTGCTACAACCTTCCTAGTTTAGGATTTATAGCCCTATATCTCTTAATTTAGATTGCGAACCGAACTCGAGGACAAGCGAATTCGGTTATTCAAAGAACGTAGGGGGTTTTATGTGGAAAGATGTAAAAGATCAAGTTTTGGGGGGAAATTACTCACCCATCTTGGTTGTACTGGCGATGTTGAATTGCAGCCACATTCTGCATAGCCAAAGCAGCTGCTGCTGCTGCCGCTGCTGAAAATAGAGTGGACGAAGGCCCAGATGGCAGATGACTATTGTTTGGAGGAGCAGGTAGCGTTTGGCCAGACAGCGGAGATAGGGCAGGATACGAAGTGAAAGGGGATTTAGTTGAAGACGGAGGCGGATTTGAAAGAATGCCAGGAACATGAGCAATAGAAAGGGGGAGTTGATGAGGATCAGTTGGACTTTGTGTAACCATTGTAGGAGGTGAAAATCTAGTCGCGAATTTTTCGAATCTATTTAGTTGGTTTATCTGGCCATCAAAACCAGGTTCACAATGGCAAGGCAGGAGGGTGGCATTCAACAATTGGCCGTCCTCACAAAAGGAGACCTGATCACCTTTGCAGGCAGCAGGAGCGGGATGACAAGAAATGACGGTGGTTGCCTGTGTAGAATAGCTAGAATTCGGCGGATTGAATTTTTGCATATTATGTCGGGCCTCCGTAGCAAGGTCATAGCTGACTAGATCCAGGCCCGTCGAGCTGGGGAACCGGTGAGTTCGGCTTGGTGAAAGTGCTTCGCTTTCAGCTAGAACGTAGCCATGGTCAACTTGGCCAAAAGTGACGGTTGACGAGGAAAGCGGACGGGGTTCGGAAACTCGATCAATGTCTTCCTGAAGGTCAGCAAATTCGTCTGAGTCCATGCCCATCTCATGGTCATATCTTTGACTGTACGGTAGCAACGGCATCGGGCGGGCTGGCTGACAAGTAAAACCGTTGCCATTGCAATTCGCCCCACTGCTAGATATTCCATTTCGGTTGTCAGGCCCAGCCGCAACTGAGGAAGATGCACCATGTGTATCATGGCGATGCCTAGGAATCCAAGTCATTTTGTTCTCTTTCTTCAGCCGGCGACGAGCATTCGCAAACCAAGTGGAAACCTGGGTGAGGTTCATGCGCGTGATCACTGCAAGCATGATTTTCTCTCCCTTTGTTGGGTAAGGATTTCGACGATGTTCCTTAAGCCAAGCTTTTAGCATATTAGTAGTCTCGCGAGTAGCAGTCTTCTTCATAGCCCTCGGATTTCCCATGACATCAAGCCTAGTTGGAAAATAAAGCAAGAAAGCCCAAATAATGTAGGCTTGATAGGGAATAGATGAATCGATGCAAGGAAGATAATTAATATAGAATAACCAGGTGAGATGGAAGACCATAGAGATAGATAAAAAGGTAAATAGATGGGCAACCAAGGGATAGGCCAGCAAGACAATATATATACATGTGTGTATATTAACATATATGGATCAGGGGTTGTACAGAGGGATAAAACATTGTACTAGACTTGGTCAGATGCGTAAGAAAAATTGACATGTTATAAACATTATCAGTAGGTTTCGATGTCGTCAATGATGCTTGAATGATAAATATAGTATAGTCCACTTAGGTCTCGTAAGATGAAGATGGACTAATACTCAAATTTTTCCATAATTCCATGAGTAGACTTCACGATACCATCCGAGTTCACTTAGCCTTGCTTCCCAAAAGGTAATACATCCATCATATAGGGCAGTTTATTCCGGTACGTAGGGAATTTAGCAAGTCCGTGATCCGACGCCGAAAAGTATCATAGCAGGGGACTTTAGACAGTGAGTTCATTTAGGTCGCCATGAGAACACGATCAAGTCGTCAAAAATTTTAATGTTTAAATAAATTCCATGTATGCTATGAGCAGTAGCAGAAGTTGGACCCCAAATAATCATACCCGAGAGTCGTTGATATTAATAAGCTTGCGTAAATCGAGCTCATGTTGGTCAGGAATATGAATAAAACGATTGATATCTTCCGCAATAAGTACATAAATGACAATAAACTATGATTCCATATGTATATTGTTATCAATTAATTAGGGAGTTAATTTATTTAAATGGTCGTATATATTTTGTTTATTTGGCCAATAAATTGCAATTCCCATCATAAAAAATAGCTCATGGCAGTCTAAGCTTTCCTTGGACAAAATCAGTTACATGGAGACTTTAAAATTGTTTGGGGTTAATCTATCTGCCTACATTTATTTGTAATTGCTCGTGATGGCAGAGATTTTGTTAAGCTCCTTTCAATACTAAATAGTTGGTCGTAAATGGATGATGCTTGCAATCCGAGTACGGATCAAATATGACATATTTTTGGTAAGCCGAATAAGCCACACACCGAAAAAGAGGATCACTCACGATTATATGAATTCAAAAAGTATCACAATTTTCACTTAAATGTAATTCTAAAAACTGAAAAGTTACTATGGCAAAAATCTTGTTGAGAAAGTTCTCATTACAGCCATCATTGTATGCTAAATGTAACTGCTTAAAGAATTACATCTTTCTTCTTCGTATTATTTACGTTATCTGATATTACATATTCTACTCTTTTTTCCCATTACTACGTCGTCCCGATGTATGTTTCGCGAGTCCTCTCGGTGTTTCACGAGGATCTAATGCAAAAGATACTTCCTACCAGTGAGTTGATTTAATGGATTGAAGACCCTGTCAATCAGTATTACATGAGTACCGATACTTGGGATGTCACCAGTTTTAGCTCATTTCATGGCATTACAACTGACTAGCAAAATTTGAACGTAAATTAGATCCGGTGTTAAACTAACTCTAGAGCATGGCACATGTCTGCCTTCTTTTTTACAATTATTCGGTTACTTTGGCTTTAGTAAAGCATTTATGCTAAAAACAAAATGTCAATCATTGCTGGCAAACTTTCAGAGCATTATTCTTTTAAAAAGGAATCCTGAATCAGAGGGAGAGTGGTAAAGTGGCTCTGGAAGAGATGAGGTCTCCCTAGATGGAAGTGGCATTTGTGAAGGCTGAAAAAATAAGGCTTAGTGATAAAAATGTAAAAGAGGATAGACGACATAAATTTCATGTTATGAATATGTTTGATTTAAGCCTATGCTGCCTAGGTAGAGGAGTTTCATGCGAATTCGGGGAGATTAGATGCAGAAAATTCCTAACCATTTGCATGCAGTGTTCCTACAGTTGGTGAGTGAGAAGAGGGAGTCTAAACACCACATGCTTTATAGAGGGCAGGCCCGCATAGTAAGCATTTGTGTCAATAGTCTCAATGGTGGCAGGAAATGAATCTTCAGCTCGTTGAGGTAAAAGCCAGCTTTAGACAGGACAGAAAATTGATGTGATAAGCAAGGATATTAATGCATCCCAGAAATAGGGAGAAAGTTGAGGAATATTGACAAACTATCAAATGGGTGCAAAGTTGCACTTAGTATAAATGAGTTTATAGTACCCTTACCTGAAGTAAGAATACTACGGAATACTGCATTAGGATATCGAGTAGACTTGAGAATATTGGCTTCTTAACCTTGTTTTTGATGGTCCGAATATTCTACGGTAAACTAGACCAGGAGGTATAAGAAAGTGTGAAAGTGCAAAGCAAAAGGATCCTTGTAGGTATACCAAAAATAGATATTGTAAAGAGAAATCGAGGCCGTCAGTAAGGCCTGTGATTCATAAGAGCAGAATTAGCAGCTGATTTACAGTAACCAGTAATATCTCATTATTACTATTTCCTCCAACATGCTTGAGAGCCCGCGACACACTACGTTTTGGTTAGGAATGTTCTAAATCCTAAAAAGCTATGGGTTTTTAGGAGAAGAGATGCTGGCATGCGTTAGGGACAGTTTGTACTAAGAATATTCTAATATGAGCTCCGAAAAAGCTCATTAACCTTTACAAATTTTAGCACTACGGATGAAATCTGAGGCAAACGCAACTTTGCGTCACATACTAGGTCAATGCAAGACGCGTCTAAAGTCCAAAAACGTAAAGTTAGATGGATGCAAAAAATCTCAAGATATGGTGAACAGTGAACCAAAACCAGCTACGGAGCGGATAGGATCAAGCAAAAATAGGAGGAATAGTAAAGTTAGAAATGCTCCTAACCCCAGACGAAAAAAGGAATCCTTTTGCTCTGCTTCATTGAATGGGTGATACGATTCCTTCATTTTTAATGCTAAATTGAGAATCCTATTCAACCTACCTTTCTTTTATATATCCTATACGATGAAAATTTGTTTCAAATATCGGACGCCGCCCACCTTATGCTTCCCTCATATCTGCAAGATAAAGCCTTGAAAGCGACTATGTGAATTTTTTCTCACATCGGATCAAATTCAAGTTAGCATAAACTGTTCAAATGAGTTTCTTCTTATGTATTGAATGAAGCAGAAATTTTAAGTTTATATGAGTTAGGTAAGAGGATGCCTATGAACTATAATGAGTAATTCGGAGTCCGCACTTTTTACCATCATCTATCGGAAACTCAGAAAGATTTAGGTGAAAAGGCCTATTTGATGCTCCAAATACACTTTTACATGATAACACGTTTTTATTATTCTTTTACAGCGGGATTATGTTTGCCTATCTCTTGTGAATACCTTCAAAGATGGGAATCCCATGACATCCCTACCAAAAGGCTAGTCGTGATTTTCATTGAGTCACCGCAATTAGGCATTTGCACCTCAATGCCTCTAGCTCATTAAATAGACTTCGGGAGAATCTTAGCATTGTTCACTATTTTAAAGTCGAATTGGGTATTATCCATCTTTGTTGATAATCCCATAGGTTGTATGGAGATCAAATCTGAGAAACACGAGGCAGTTGTGTGTTTGGCAGCAATTGGCAACAAAATCCGGGTGGCAACAAACCAAAATTTCAACAAATGTACCTTTTAGACACAATCGCAAAAGTTCCGGTCAGCATCTTAATATGTTGATACATCACTTAATTACAAACCCTCATATTGCGACATGATTCCTTGTACATGTCAACAAAACAGATTTTGGAATATTCAGATAAAAAGACTTCTATATTACCATTTTATCATGAATACGAATTGAATTGACCCTACTTTAAATAAGGTGATGCAAGATTAATAGTCGAATAATCCCACAATTATCTGAGAAGGCCTCACGATGCCATCGAATCACACTTAGCCTTTCCCCCAAAAAATTATTATTCTCCAGAGTGGAGTGCAGTTTCGAACTCGCCTGGGTCTCATTTGCACCATAAGAGGGTGCTGGCAGGTCACCACTAAGCCACACTGTCACGGGTGCCAGGGGGTCATGGGGCAGCTACAATGAAAGTATGGCTTATTTGAAATAAAATAATAAAACTAACCTCATACTAGCCCTAATACAAGCATACAGAATTAGTTATTTGCATCTTCATTGTAATCTCCATGCTTACGACAAAGTTTTTCATTAACAATTTATAATCCTAGGCTCTGAGCCATGCACTTTGTCCGTAGCCAATTCTATCTGGTATTTCTACCCGTTGGCTGATACTGGTGCCAAATCCAAATTCCTATCAAAGGCAGCAATAAAGGAGGGCCAGAACCTTCAATGTGGGCTTCGAATACCTTTGTACCAACTTTGAAACAGGAAAGAATATGGTCAATCATCGAATGAGAAAACTCTCGCTAGGGCTAATAGCTTCTAAAAGAATCTTGTTCTTCTGCTGGCCAGATAAATCTGTAGTCTTCGAAGAGATGTCATTTATTTGTGCATTTATCAGAATTAAGTCTGAATCCTAGTAATACTTCTCAAAAAATGTCGCCATCCTTGAATGCCTTTTTATGTCTGGACCAGAGACTTATTCCATGATCTAAAACAAAATTCGAAATTGTAGCCGTCGAAGAAAGGGACTCTGCTTATTGTATTTTCCCAAAGTTACTAGACTCTGTTTAAGAGGCTGCATTCGAGTAGACATTTAAGATAGTATGAGGATAGACAAAATGAGTATATTGGTGAATCGTAGCCCATTAAATTAGGAGGATTTATTTGCCGATAGAATAAAGAAAAGCGATGCCACCCTCAATTAAAAGCACTCTATTCCTCTCCCTCTTCTGTTTGCATCTATTTCACTGGGCATGAAAAAGCGAAGTCTACCGAAGTCGACTATGTTTATCCGAAATAAACATCGGCTTTCTAAGAGATAATAAAAAAATAAATTAGTTACATATGCAAAATAGATGATTTTAACATGTCGCTAAGACAAGAAATATGAAATAAAAATTCTTACAACACTAGTATGGCAACACAAAATTGTATGTTTGAGGAAAATTGGAGCGATGAACTGAAAGTCCAAATTAAATAAAGTGAATCCATTTCATTATGCGACATGCACGCAAATAA